GCACTAAGCCCTGCATTCCATTAATAACTGAGTGCAGCATGGCCATCTCTGGGCTCACCTGACCAGAGTGCATCCAGGTGCTAAGTATTTAAGCAGTGAATAGACGGTGCAGCATGGCTCAGTGCAGACTTCAGTCCTTTAAGCTGGGCCTGTGATCTCAAAGAACAGCTTCAAATAAAAATCAGTTCTCTCTGTACTCTAAGCAGAGTAGTTAATCTTTATCATGACAACTTAAGGCCGAGGCCAGATTGAATGGCATCTCTGAGAGCTCCAGTTCCTAGCTCAGCTTGTTTTCCTAGTTGGCAATGGATCTTTAACCCTTCCCGGGGCTCACAGAGCCCTGAGCACTTGGCAGGCTGGAAGCATTGTTTTCTTTTTATGAATGATGGTCAAATGAGCTTCAAAACCACCAATAGGAAATGTGGATTTCAATGAAACTATAGTTTATAAAATTTGGGGCAATAATACATTGAGCCAATGAGTTAGTCAAGATAAAAACTATGCAGAATATTATCATTTTTTAAAACTTGTAATCACAAGAAGTTTTTAAAGATTCATGGAAAGTGAATTTTTGAACAAACTATGCATGGATTCAAAATGAGTTTTTTTGCACAAAATAAACTCATATTTTAATTCCAATTTTTTAAACAAACTTTTGAAGTCCCTTTTCATTTTCTAGCACTTCTTCTTTCTTCTGTTGTATTTTTGGATGCCTCTGGATAAATCCAAGTTCAACATAACTACATTTTTCTGCTGCACAATGCAGCAATTTATTATTCACCTCCATGTTCCCCAAACAAAATAATAAAATTGGTCAAAATGTGTAATTCAGCGATTTATTCCTAAAGTGCCTATTCAGAAATATTGTGTAAAAATGGTGAGGCACATTATTATTAGATAAGATTCCAATAGTCTATGAAAAATTTTATGCGATTGAAAATATTGGGAAAATGTTTGAATATTTGACCAATGTGTAGGAGATGTGAAGTAGTGATTAGTTTCTAAATAGTTCATTAAACTATATTTCCTATTTAGGCAAGCTGGGTTTTTTTCTTCAAGCCCTTATGTCAAAGGTTTTCAAATTTCATATGATTTCTTTTCCCTGACTTACACAACTTCTTACCTTTCTCCCCTTAAAAGGATTATGAATCATTCTTTAGCTACTATTACTAAACTTGGTCAGGGGTGTGCATATCCCTGTAAATATCCCAGAGCTTATAAAAGCTAAATCAGAAATAAGCAGTGATTCAAATCTTCTAGTTGGAAGATTTAAATAATACAAAAACATTCACCAGTAGAACATCCAACCAAGGTGCCCAGCTCTTAATCATCTTTTGGCTCAAGGCTGAATAATCCTCTAAATAACACAGCATAGTCAAGGCAGTACAACCATGGTGTGCATCCGCATACTGCTAATTCCTTTTGCACTTGTCTGTACCACACAGTTTAGCACTTTATTACATGTTGGCTTGTCATCCAACTGCTCCATGTGTGTCTTTTCATTCAAAATACATTCTGAGGTGCTGAAGAGCTGTGGCCCTGGTTTAAACACTTTAATCCACATAACATTTAGCATGGTATCACCCATATAACAGAGTTTGCAAATCTTAATTATTTGTTCCTTTAGAAACTTCTTGAGAGAGATATCTGTTAGAAAGAGTATCAAAACTTGATGTTTCTGCTGAGGTTGTTCACAAGGAGGCAGATTAGTACTAAATATAATAATTTGACAAAAAAAATTTTTTTTATAATCAGACCAAAGATCACTCACTCTCCTGAGGATCATTAATAGAATTCAATAGTGGCCAGGATCAGTTTGATAGAGTCATTAATATCTAGTCAATTGGTGTTCAGCTCATAAACAGATCATAACCTGTAAAAATTTCAGTATAGTATATCCCATCAAGCAATATCACCTACATAAACACAGACAATTCAACTTTCACATTGAAATTTTTCCTATTTAGTAGAATCTTTTAATATTTGGATTGATATTAGCCAAATCAGATCTTCCAAAATAAAATCAGTATGTACACACACACACACACACACACACACACGGAGCTACTTATTAGGAGTCACTTAATGAGGAGTATAAATACACTCTTCAAATTTTTTATTTTTGCTAGAATATCATGTGCATATGTAAATTTAAAAAATAGCCTAATTAACAAGTTAAGTGTCACAATAGATTTACTTACATTTTATGTGGGATGCACAAATAAGCAAATTCTAGCTCTAATTTTAACATACCATACTAAGGAGGCCTAAGAAAACATGTGCACATATATATTTTTTTTTTCTTATGTTAACTTACAGATCATCAGGACAATTTCGTGGTGGCTCCAGTCTCCCTCCTGTTTGCACATGGTTTAAAACATCTAGGTTGGAATGAGCTGGATAAGGCTGATGACCAAGAGTTAAAATCTCCCAAATCAGAATCCCAAAAGACCTGAGGAATTAAAGGGTTTGTTTTAACTATACTTGTTATAAAGATCAAAGTTACAGTAGGTTCTACATCATTATTCCTGAGTCTACTTTGTGTTTGGCATCATTGGTCCAATGAAAACCAAATAGGAGACTTAAAAGCAGGTTGAGTTAAAGAAAAAGTAGAATAAATCACCGAGTACAAACAACACTTAAAGGTTTAGTGGGGGCACACACACACAGGGACAGACACATATACCCCCACCACACACACACACACACACTTTGCTCCTCTCCTGGCGGAAACTTCACTGCAGGCCTTCATTACTAAGGCTTTCAGAGCATCAATTTGCAGACACACCTAGTGCTGAGCAAGAGAGGACAATACCATTTTCTCCCCAATTTGGAGAGGGATAGAGCGCTAGTAAACATGAAGAGGGAAGGCACAGGTAAAAGCTGGAAGCGCTGAGGTCTGAGGCCACTCCATCTTAACTGACACTAAACAAAATCTTTACATTTTGAGCAGCTCTAAAATTTGGGGGGGGGAGGGGTTTCAATAAGCAAAAAAAAAGCTGTCTTATTAAAATAATGAGAGATCCAGACCTCCCCATATTCTTATCTTCTTACAATCCATGATTTAAAGTCCACCTATAAATTTACGGCCAAGTATTCTGAAATGGTAGGCATGTGGACACACACTTGGACATAAACTCATAAGTACCGATTCTCATGCTTCTACACCTTTAGAGTGTACTAAAATACTTGAAGCAAATGCATCTATTTTATATATAATAGTAAGAAAAAGATCAAAATTGATTAAGAGGAGGGCTGTGAGCTCCTCAGACTCAGGAATAGCCTCTCTTTCACTGCATCTAAAGGTAAATCACTTAACCTCTTTGGTCTTCTGTTTCTTAGATTAAAAAAGGAAGAAGGAAAAAAAAGAAAGGAAGGAAGGAAGGAAGGAAAGAAGGAAGGAAGGAAGGAAAGAAGGAAGGAAGGAAGGAAAGAAGGAAGGAAGGAAGGAAGGAAGGAAGGAAGAAGAAGAAATATCCTCTCAAGATTCTGGCTCTGAGATTTGATGGTTCTGCCTACATTTCCCTGGCTCCCCTTGAGCTCACCATACATCAGACTGAGTAGTGAAGATCCCATCCATCAGACTTTCTGGAGCCATCCAGCGAACAGGGAGCAGGCCTTCCCCTCTCTTTCTGTAGTAGTCATTTTTATAGATGTCCCTTGCAAGTCCAAAGTCTCCAATCTTTACTATCCTTGAAGGACTAGTATAGTCTTTCACAGAGACAAGGCAATTCCGAGCCGCCAGATCCCTATGGCAAAAGAAATATTTAATAATAGTAATAATAAAGTTCCAGCAATTAGGCAAGTAACACCAGTAGGTCTATAAAGATGAGAGATTTTTTAATAGAAGTAGTTGCTATTTCTTTTTTTTTTGGAGAGGTTTTTGCTATAGGGCGTGTGTGCTCTCCAGACAGACAGAGACAGAGAGACAGAAAGCGAGAAATCACCCCCCAGGGGGGATGGCCACGCCGCAATCCCTTCTCCTCCATTCTCCTCTCGGGATCTTGGGCACGCACGCACATGTGCCCAGCGTGAGTTTAAGCCACCGGGTCCGGGATGCAAACCGCGGTCGACTACGTGTCAGCGGCATAGTCCAGCGACATAGCCATTACGCTAACTTCTGGTCCCAGTAGTTGCTATTTCTAAAGAATTAAAATGTTTAATTATTTTGTATATTATATCCAAACTATAGGTGATTCTTCTGTCGATATCTATATTCGTTTTGTATCCAGAATACTATTGTACCTGTGAATGAAGTGCATCTGCTCCAAGTACACACAGCCTTTTGAAATATCTACACACAGGTCCACAAGGTCAACCAAGGTGAGTAAAGGACCGTGAAACTGTAAAAAATGAAAAAAAAATTAGAGAGACTTTTCTAGTTTGCACAAAATATAAGCTTATGTTTGAATATCTATAGCTACAGGCAGATTCATACACACTTATGTATACAATGTCTTAAAGAAATTTATAGTTATGGTCATAAGAATTAAAACAAAGAAAAACTGAATCTATCTACATGCTTTCTATCCAAATAGTAAGCAGGGACAATATGGAGTGTTTATTGGAAAGGTCTCAGAGGGTCAGGCCAGACAAAGATTTGAAACCTAGTTCTAGTTGTGTGAACATGCTCAAGTTGCTTAATTTATTAAGCAAGTTTTTATATGTAAAATGAGCAATACTGACCTTATAAGATTCAAGATACATAATATGACTGATGTATATGGGCACTTCATAAACAGTAGCTGCTCTCTTAAGTAATAAGTAATGATCATCTCATCAGTGCTAGCTAGTTTAATGACTGGTCCAATGGTGCTCTATCTTGTCAGTCATGACAGTGGGCTTTTTCCTCATATGAGCCCATATAAATTGTTAGCAAGGTCACATAAATTGTTTCAAGATCACACATTATTCCTCTCATCTAGGAAAGCTAGCATGAATATACATTTAAGCCTACACTGGTTGCAATAATTTCTATTTGAAAAAAAGCTCCATACACTCACTGGAGAGACAGAGAGCGAGTGCATGCACCCTATAGCAAAAACCTCCGAAATGAAGTAATTGTAGGTAAATGAGAAGTGACACTGTGTGAATATATCATTGGGGCAGGAACTCTGAACTTTTTATATATGGTACTGATTTTCAACTAGCTCTTTTCCACATGGAAATTACTGCAACCAGTATAGGCTTAAATGTATATTTGTGAGACAGAGAGAAACAGAGAGACAGAAAGCAAGAAATCATATCCCAGTGGGGATGGCCACACCACAATCCCTTCTCCTCCATTTTCCTCTAAGGATTTTGGGCATGCACGTACATGTGCCTGGTGTGAGTTTTTCAGCCACCAGATCCAGGACTCAAACCACAGTCAATTATGTGGGAATCTAGTGACAGGTTCAGGCCTTTATCATCCTTAGTCTGATGTGTTCAAACTGTCCCATATCACTACCCTCTATGCTATGCTTTATTAGCTCATTTCGTTTTGGCCCACTTTCTGGAGAGCCTAATAGAAATTCCTTATCACAGCCCCAGGCACCCCCAGGCTGCACCAGCCAGCCCCTCTTGCATCCATTTATTTCCCATCCCTTCTCCACTCACAAACTGGGTCACATGCTGTTCCTTATACTCACTGCATTTTTCCACCTCTCCTTATTCCTGTTGTTGTTCCTTCTGGAATGTCCCACATATTTGTGATTTTTATCCTTTACTGGGCATCTCAGTTTCCCAACTTTGGATCCCTCAATTTCTCATAGAAGAATGCTTTTTTCTTTTTTTTGAAGAATTATTTTTATTTAACTTTATTTATTATTATTATCATTATTATTTTCCAGTTTGATCCGAGAGAGACAGAAAGAGAGAGAGGAAGTTAGCAAGCAAGCCACCAGGTCCGAGACTTGAACCATGGTTGGCCATGTGGGAGTCCAGCGCCTTTAACCACCATGCCACTTGCCAGCCCCATAGAAGAATGCTTTAAGTGCTGCTTTCCCTGCCTCCCTGACAAGCTTACCTCTTACCCTGAAACTGGAAATAGTCCTGGTGTGCTGGGACTCTGTATTGCACGGTCCCACTCAGCCACACCTAGAGCTGATTAGGCTCTGGCTTTTCTCCAAGAATCAATCCCTCCAACCCCGTTCAGGTTCACCACATGTTTGTCTTATGGTCTGTGCTTGAGCTTCACCTGGGTGATCTTACAAGTTCACTGGTTCCTGTGTGAATGGAATCCTGCTTTGCTCTTGACAAAAACTGCAACTAAGGAAGACTTTCTCTTGGTCTGGAATCCTGCTTCTGAACTTAATTTTCATGGCTAGTGCCCTGCAGACAGATTTTCACAATGCTGCCCACCTGCTGGCCTGCTTGAAACTCTATTACCTCCTCCTGATATCCCCTGTGACAACCTGTTGGGACACCTCATCACTCCATGTCAATCCTCGCTCATTTCAGATGCTACCCTGGGCTACCATATGTCGTCTTAAACCAAGTTCTCCAAACAATATTTTTTAAAGTTTATTTAATTATTTCTTCCATGAGCAAGGAAAGAGACAGAGAACCAAAAACAGAGATAGCACTCTCAGAATGGTCTTTTGTTTGTTTCTCATATTTCTTTTTTTTTAATTTATTTGTTTTTATTATCATCATAATCTTCTTTATATTACATTGGATTACATATAACTTTACAGTATATTACATTGCTCTTTCAAAAGGGATTACCATGCATGTCAGTCAATACAGAGACATTAATCTCCCCACTTCATCATTCAATATCTTTTCAATGTTTTTCCCAATCATTATTATTATTATTCTAATTATTATTTTTTAAACAGTCAATCACTATTTCTCATTTTGCTTGTAAAAAGACTTTACCTATCATGAAATACTTCTCAGACCAATCCAGTTGAGAATACTATACATGTCATCATCAACAGGTAATAAGCCATATCTGTTTCCCACTGACATCCTGCCTCTCTATTTGTTCTCTTGCTATCTTTCTCTATCTTCTTCTCTTCACCTCCTCCCCTCGATTCCCCACTGTCTTATTCTCATTAAGTACTTTCACTGCCTTTATGTCCTCCAATTTTTCGCTCTCTACCGTAGAGTGCGGTTAGTCGGTATATATTGAGTGGATACATACAATATCTTTCTTTCATAGCCTTACTTCACTCAGCAATAGATCCTCCATATCTGACCACTTTCTATCAAATGTCAGGGTCTTGTTATTTTTTATGGCTGAGTAGTATTCCATAGAGTATATATACCACACTTTTCCAATCCATTCATCAGTTTGTGGACATTTAGGTTGGTTCCATGTCTTGGCAATTGTGAATAATGCTGCAATAAACATGGATGTGCAAGCACTTTTCTGACTGAGCGTTCTCCTGTCTTTTGGGTAAATACCCAGAAGTGGGATTGCTGGATCAAATGGTAGTTCTATTTGTAGATCTTTGAGGAACCTCCATATTGTTCTCCACAGTGGTTGAACTAGTTTACATTCCCACCAACAGTGTAGGAGGGTTCCCTTTTCACCACATCCCCGCCAACACTTATCACTTTTTATATTCTTAATCTTTGCCATTCTGACAGGGGTTAGGTGGTATCTCATTGTGGTTTTTATCTGCATCTCCCTTATGATGAGGGATGTTGAGCATTTCCTCATATGCTTTTTGGCTGTTCGTATGTCTTCCTTAGAGAGACTTTTGTTCAGCTCATTTTCCCATCTTTTAATCGGGTTAATCATTTTTTTTCGCATAAGGCACTTGAGTTCCCTATGTATTCTAGTTATCAGTCCCTTGTCTGAGGCATATTTAACAAAAATATTTTCCCATTCTGAGGGTTGTCGGTTCACACTTGTTACTGTGTCCTTTGCTGTGCAGAAACTTCTTAGTCTAATATAGTCCCACTTGTCTATTTTAGGGATTATTGCCTGTGCTTTGGGAGTCTTATTTAAGAAGTCTTTGCCTACTCCAATGTCTCCCAGAGTTTCCCCAGCATTTTCCACAAGTAGTTTTATTGTCTGAGGTCTTAGGTTCAGATCTTTGATCCATTTTGAGTTGACTGTTGTTAATGGTGAAAGATGGGGGTTCAGTTTCATCTTTCTGCAGGTGGATACCCAGTTTTTCCAGCACCATTTACTAAAGAGGTTTTCCTTTTCCCAATGGATTGACTGATATCCTTTGTCAAAGATCAGTTGGCTATAAGCTTTGGGAGTTATTTCTGGGGTCTCTATTCTCTTCCATTGGTCCACATGTCTGTTTTTATGCCAATACCATGCTGTTTTGATGACCACAGCTTTATAGTATATCTTGGGATCAGGGAGTGATATGCCTCCTACTCCATTCTTCTTACGCAGGATTGCTTTTGCAATACGAGGTCTTTTATGGTTCCAGACAAATTCTATAATTGTCTTTTCTAGATCTCTGAAGAATATCTCTGGTATTTTGATTGGAATTGCATTAAACATGTAGATTAATTTGGGTAGAATTGCCATTTTGATTATGTTAATTCTACCAATCCAGGAGCATGGGATGTCCTTCCACTTTTTTATGTCACTTTCAATGTCTTTTTTAAGATTCTCGTAGTTTTCTTTATAAAGGTCTTTGACTTTCTTAGTTAGGTTTATCCCTAGATATCTTATACATCTTGTGGCTACGGTGAAAGGGATTCCTTTCTTCAGCTCTGCTTCATTCAACTTGTTGTTCATAAATAGAAATGCTATAGATTTTTGGATATTGATTTTGTATCCTGCCACCTTACTGTATTCACTTATTACTTCAAGCAGTTTTTTCATGGATACCTTTGGGTCTTCTAAGTATACCATCATGTCATCTGCAAATAAAGATATTTTCAACTCTTCTTTGCCTATTCGAATGCCTTTAATACTGTTCTCTTCTCTGATTGCAATAGCTAAGACTTCCAGTACTATATTAAAGAGCAGTGGAGAAAGTGGGCAGCCTTGCCTAGTACCTGTTTTCAGAGGAAAAGCTTTCAGCTTTTCCCCATTCAGTATAATATTAGCTGTAGGTTTTTCATAGATTGCTTTTATTGTGTTCAGAAATGACCCTTCTATACCAATCTTACTGAGAGTCTTAATCATAAAAGGATGTTGTATTTTATCAAACGCTTTCTCCGCATCAATTGAGATGATCATATGGTTTTTATCTTTCTTTCTGTTAATGTGGTGTATTACATTTATGGTCTTGCGTATATTGAACCACCCTTGCATCCCTGGTATAAAGCCTACCTGGTCGTGATGAATGATCTTTGTTATATGTTGTTGGATACGATTTGCGAGTATCTTGTTGAGAATTTTCGCATCTATATTCATCAATGATATTGGTCTGTAGTTTTC